AAAGCAGAATCCAGAGAATACAACCCTCTTCTCCCTGGGGAACCTATCAGTCCCATCTTTGCAAAAACCTGAGGAAATAGATCTTTTGATCTAGAGTATCACCAAGTACCTCCACAAAAAAACCCACACAAACACTTACATGGCTCCCAATAACACTTGCAAACAGTCACTAATTTGGAATGGACAAATGGAAAAAGGATAATTTGAAAAGAGAAGAAAACTTTAAAACTGTGCTGTTCAATGGGTGAAAATTGCTTCCTTTCCCAACAGGTGAAAATTGATTCCTTTCACAAGTCACAAACTAGGATCTTGCTCTTGACAAAGGTATGACCTACACTCAAGCCTCATTAAAAATAGAGTTAACTTGATAATTTGCAAGTTTTCAGTCCAAGAAATGAACATTGACCTCCATTGTTCTATTCCTGCAGGCAAGGTTATATGATATAGACAATGGCTGAGGGGACTGTGCAGACAACATTGTCCGATACCATTTGTCAAATGGTTCTCTCAGGTAGGTGCAACTTACTGGAAAATTTCTGTTTCCTTCCAATTACTATGCTGCAGAAATGATGACTCTAAAAATACTTCTCCTCTAGCTGCCAGGCAAGAGCACCATCTGGTGTTCAGCTAATTAAAGCTTTCAACCTGCTTTTGGACCATTTTTTTTGTTTGCTTGGTTTTTTATTTATGCCTGTTGTTCGGGGTCGGTTTGTTTTTTGGTCAGGTTTTTGTTGAGTTGGGTGCTTTTTTTCAGCAAATTTACTCTGAACTGATCGGATTCCATGATATATTCAGAAAAAAAGCTGAAAAGCAAGCTAGGAAAAACTCCTTAGTCTCCATGGGGGAGGGAGGAGCAGTAGAACTTACAGAAATTGTTGGAGTTTTATATATAACTACTACCCCCTAAAATAAACCAAGCAATAGAGTATTAGGTAACTTCTTAGTATATAGTCCACCTTGTTATCATAGGTAGTTTGTAAATAATTCTTGTGCCTTCAGGGACCTTAGAGGAAAAACAACTGCTCATACACTGCCAGTTAAGTACCACCCTTCGAAAGCTTTACAGCCCTTCACAATATTGTACTTTCTTCCTAACCTCTGGCTATTCTCTCCATGCAGAAACTAAAATACTTCCTCCTCACTCTTTACAAAAATAGCACCTAGTAAATGCCTCCCAGTTATTTACCTTAACCATTTCTCATTCCAGTCATCTGAACTTCCACTTAGTCAAACAGAAGCATCAGGTCACATTTTAAAATATAAAATCAGTCTAAGTAACACTCAAAATTATTAAATAATATCCGACTGTTCTTGTAAGACTGATAATCAACAAACAGACCAAGGAATTTAGCAATGGACTTAGGTTAACAGAAGTTACAAGGATGCACATTCTCTATTTCTAGAGATGTTCTACGGATTCTCTCAAAAGCATTAATTCTGTTTATATCTATACCACTTGAAGGAGTGAAAAATCATTCAAAGTCTGAACTCTAGACATTTAGAAAATATTTTTAGCAAGACAACGTGACAAGCTTCTATTTAAAATCTTGGAGAGTGGGGAGAAAATAGCCATAGAAACTAAGGAACTCAACAGCTAGCCTACAATTAAATCATGGGAGAAGAACAATTCATTCTAAGCTGAGAGGAAATATCAAGTTTTGGAATCTGCTGCAACTCCAGTCACCCCAGAGACTTTATTAAACTAAAAAAGCACCCCAAAAAAACAACCAAAAGCAAAAAAAGAACTATCTCCTCAATACTACAGACCCTCCTTCTAATACTTCCCAGCTACCAGGAGAATGTATTGTGATTATAGCTACCATGAAGAAACAAACTCACAGGAATGGAAGAGGTGGTGGAGAATTCTTCCAAACTTAGAAACAAGTTTACATAGGCATTTATTCATGTGCTACCTCAAACAGGAATAATTAACACAACTACTCATTTGATTTCAGACTTGTCACTTCTGTAAATTCATTTGCAAAGTTCAGTTCTTCGACTAGCACCCTCTTACCTGTTTGTTGGAGTGGTGAAGCTAAAAGACAGCAGCTGATTCCAGAACGGGTCATTCTCAGAGATGGGCTCTGCTCCTGATAATTTTTGTAAGTACTCATTTTCTGGAAGCTCACTGATGCTGCTGCTATTTGCTCCCATCTTCTTTATTTGGCAAATCTCCTTCTAAATTTTCATTTCTTTGAGGGGGAAAAAAAAAAAAGGCATAGAAACACTAAGTCTTTTGTACAAATAAGGAATATGCAGACCCCAAATTAATTGCCAGTAAAGCTTCAGTCTACTTCCTTGAACAACTACTGAGATGTAGAAATCAGGTGCATAGAAGGACATTAGAAAGACTTTCTTTCAACAAACTTAGGACAATAACATCTTCACTCAAGGAAGTTAAAAGTTTCTGTGGTATATACTTGGTCACCACCTCGCTTGGATTTTAGCTAACCACACTTGGTGAAACACAGTATCACAATTTTATCAGTATTAAAGCTTCTACCAGTGGGGAAAACTGCAAGGAATTCACTGTTTCAGCAGGGGTGTCAAGTTGACAAGCTATTCAAAAATGTATTTTCCAACTGAATATGCATAGATAGAAAATGACTACTTCTGTAAAGATGCAGCTAATTCCAGCATGCCATCAATGACCTACACTTTGAAAGCCTCTGCCTCGCCAGAGGAAGCACCGCTGTTATCATACTGTTATCAAGTAAGGAAAAGTACTACTGACCACACATGAACCTCCTAACCTCTGTAAAATAATATGGTTGCTTCCAGGAAATTACTTCAATGGGAAAAAGCTAGAAATGAACACACCAGAAACACAACTGCTTTTTGAAGGAACACTGCAGAAGTTGGCACTTCAAACCCTCTTTTCATTATTAGCTGGGTTGTACTTGATTTGTGCAAAGAATGAGAAGCTTTCAATTCTTCATGATGCTTGTCACTGCTTCTTACCTTTATAAACAATTTAATTAAAGAAAAGCCCCTACCACAATGCTATCAACTAAGTGCCAGGGATGATCCCAAGCATCTTACATCTTTACAAGGCATCAGCTTCAATAATCTTCCATCTCTTAACAAAAAATAACTGTGACTGATAGATTTAAAAGTTTACATGTAAAAAAAGCATACCCATCAAGTTAAGAGTCCTATGCAATGTATTACTGTATAACCTACCTACTCACTCCTGAGCTGGCATAAGGCATAAGAACAGAGACAGCTGTGATAGAAGATGTAAGCTACTATCCATCAGCAATTCTTCCCTTGGTCTTGACAAAGGTACAGGATCTGCTTCAAGAATCACTCCAGTACTGATTCTCTTAGAACTCACCAACTTTGCAGAAGCAATTATTTCCAAAACAGACAATTCTAGCAGCAGCTAATATTAATAAAGAACAGTATAAATACAAGGAAAGCTTACCAAAAACAAAGAGATGCAATGAAAAGCTGCAATGTTTGCAGTCACGGAGGCTCTCTGATGAATTTATATTTGAGGTTCAAAGACAGTATACAATACCCAAGTATTTCAGAAACAACAAAATGCCAGCACAGAAAGAGAACAGAATATAAAATATATTAAGTAATAAAGAGGTCTTTAAAAGGTGAAATCTTACAGAAACAAGAAAATTGGTGATTATTTTCTAGATTTTATTTTAGCAGACACTACAAGCTGGAAATATACCACTCCACACTTCTTCCCTCCACTCTAGTACTTCATCTTCCACCATCACTATTAGCTGCTCTAGAAGATACGACACAGCAAGAAGAAGGTTTACACTGACTCAACACCTCTGCTCCTACAAGAATTCCACTATGTAACTCTGTTGGCATGTACCCAGGGAGCTCTGCTTTGAGGCAGTTTGGTTTCCACCACTTCCCTGCATACCTGACCAAACTGAAGAGAGACACAGTAACCTTATAACCTCACAACCACCTCCCTTAGCAAAATGCTTTGAAGACACTGTCTACAGAACTTGAAAAAGCCATTTCTGTCACATACACTACCTGCAGGAAGATAAATTAAAAGTGCCCTAGGAGTGAAAATGGAACTTTGTGCCAGGGAATTCCGTGCATTAAAGGATCATAAATTAGTTTAAGAAGATCTCCAGAACTTCAGTTGAATGCTTACTTGCAGAATAGAAGGAACACATCCTACCTGAACACAAACAGGGCTGCCTCAAAGAAAAATCCCTAGAACCAGTGTACAATAACATTGAAACAATGACAAAGAATACTAAAGCTATAGAACAATGTAGAAGATAAACCAACTTGCATATGTCTGAGAATACTGGATCATCACTTAGTAGAAGAATTTAAGTTCAGCTTGTACATGGACATCTCAGCTCTGCAGCCCCTGCCTTTAACAGATGGCTAGAAGCTCTTTAGAAGAGACAGATGTAGCAAGAGGGATGGTGGGGTAGTAGCAATGTATGTTAGGGAGTGTCATGGCTAAGACACCAATGTCAAAGACATATGAGAAAGGATCAGGGGAAAGTCAACAGGGTAGACACCAGTTATAAAAAAACATTTTGCACAGTTTTCAATACTGGATGATGTAAGGAGGGCCAACAGCACAATTGCCACCTCGGACTTTCAGCGGGCAGACTTTACCCTGTTTAGGGCATGGATTGATGGGAGTCCCTTGGGAGTCAGTCCTGAAAGGTAAAGGAGTTCAGGAAGGTTGGAAGAGTTTTAAAAAAGAATTGCTAAACATTCGGGAGCACACTGTCCAAGCTGATGAGGAAAAAGACCAGCCTGGTTAAACAGAGAACTTAGGCTGGAGCTTGGGAAAAAAAAAAAAAAGGATCTTCTATTATCTCTGGAAGGAGGGTTAGGCAAGTTGGGAAGCCTATAAGGATGCCAAAAGGTCATGTAGTTATAAGATTAGGACATGCAAAGCCCAGCTGGCACTTGATTTAGCCAGGAAAGTCAAGAACAACAAAAAAAGGTTTTATAACTACATTGGGAGCAAAAGGAGGGTCAAGGAGGGTGTCCATCAGCTGATAAATGCAGAGGGTAGTGTAGTAACAGGGGATGCAGATAAGGCAAAGGTAATAAATGCCTTCTTTGCCCCTGTCTTTAATATCAGCACCCATAATCCAGGAGGAGATGGTTGATGACTTGCTATGTCAATTGGATGTTCACAAGTCCATGGGGCCTGATGATATCCACCCCAGGGTAATGAGCCAACTGTTAAAAGAACACACTAAACCACACGCAATCATCTACCAGCAGTCCTGGATAATTGGAGAAGTTCTGGCTGACTGGAAATTAGCAAACATGACACCCATTTATAAGAAGCATCAGAAGGAGGATCTGGGGAACTACAGGCCTGTAAGCCTAACCTTGGTTCCCAGCAAGGTCATGGAGATCATCCTCAGTGCCATCGCATTGCACATGCAGGGCAACCAGGGTATCAAGCCTAACCAACATGGATTTATGAAAGGAAGGTCCTGCTTGACCAACCTGATCTTCTATGACAAAGTGACCCATTCAGTGGATGAGGGAAAGACTGTGGACATGGTCTATCTGGATTTCAGTAAGGCATTTGACACTGTCTCCCACAACATACTTCTAGAAACTGGCTACTCGTGGCTTGGATAGGTTGACTCTTCAGTAGGTAAAAAACTGGCTGGATAGCCAGGCCCAGGGAGTTGTGGTTAATGGAGCTAAATCCAACTGGCAATCAGTCACTAGTGGTGTTTCCCAGGGCTCAGTCTTGGGGCCAGTCCTATCTAACATCTTTACTGATGATCTGGGCCTGGAGATTGAGTGCACCCTCAGTAAATTTGCAGACAACACTAAGGTGGGTGGGAGAGTCAATCTGCTTGAGGGTAGGAAAGCTCTACAGAGAGACCTGGACCAACTTCGTCAGTGGGCTGAAGACAACTGCATGAGGTTCAAAAGCAGAAGTGTCAGGTCCTGCACTTGGGACACAATAACCCCATGCAGAGCTACAAGCTGAGGGAAGAGTAGCTTGAGAACTGTTCAGCAAAAAGGGACTTGGGAGTGCTGGTGTGCAGCTGGCACAATATGAGCCAACAGTGTGCACAGGTGGCCAAGAAGGCCAAAGGCATCTTGGCCTGTATCAAGAATAGTGTGGCCAGGAATAGCAGGACTAGGGAAGTGATCATCCCTCTGTAGTCAGCATTAGTGAAGCCACATCGAGTATTGTGTTCAGTTTTGGGCCCCTCACTTTCAAAAGGACATTGAGGCACTGGAGTGTGTCCAGAGAAGGGCAACAAGGCTCACAAAAGGTCTGGAACACATGTCCTATGAGGAATGGCTCAGGGAATTGGGTTTGTTTGATCTTGAGAAGAGGCAGCTCAGGGGTGACCTCACTGCTCTCTACAACTGCCTGACAGGGGGTTGTAGAGAGGTGAGGGATGGTCTCTTCTGCCATTCCTGCAGTGAGAGGACTAGAGGGAATGGTCACAATCTGAGACCAGGGAGATACAAATTAGACATCAGGAAAAATGTTTTCACTGTTGGTGCTGTCAGGCACTGGAACAGATTGCCCAGGGAGGTGGTGGAGTCACCATCCTCAGAAGTGTTGCAGAGATGTCTGGATCTGATGCTGGAGGATATGGTTTAGGATTTAAGGGTTACAGCAGGTTAATGGTTGGACTCGATGATCTTAGAGATCTCCTCCAACCTTGATGATTCTATGATTCTGTGTGTGACTTTATGATGAAGCCTGAGCACCTTCAGCTCCTCCACCCTGAACAGCTATAGGCCAAGCTTTAAATAAGCCAGACATTCCTGAGGAAGTCCATCCACCAGGTGGCAAGCCTCTCCTTCAGAGTTCAGAAATATCCTACAGGACAACTGTCTAATGAAGAATGAAAAATAGAAAAACATTATCAACATTTAATTTTTAGGCAACAACAGTAACAGATGAAGCCCAATGCTTTAACTTAGCTGGTTACATGCTAGCCATGATCTCAAACACATTCCTGAGACAGATGCTACTAAATAAAATTAAATGCCAGTCCCACCTTAAATCCTTTTCAAACATGCTATTAAATGTTTCTTTTAGAATCAGCTGCCCTTAGCCAAAAGATCATTCAAGTAAAACATCTAACCACTTAACTTTCCACACTGCTTGCAGCTGTATGCTGGTTAAGGCAGTAGGGGATCCAGCCCTTAGGTTGGCCAGTATGTGGAATACAATTGTAACAA